GGAATTGCTAGTTTAATGATAACTTATGTTTTAACCATTTAAGAAGCTGCCAGACTGTTTGCCAAAGCTACTAATTAATACCTTTTTACATTCTCCGTAGTAGTGTCTAAAGGTTCTAACTTCTCATCCTTACCAACTCTTGTTTTTATCTCTTTCATTATAGATATCCTAGTGGGTTCAAAGAGATATCTTATTGTGGTTTTGATTTTCAATTTCCTAATGACTAATAGTATCAAGAATTTTTAATGTGCTTATTGGCCATTTGTATATGATCCCCTGGGAAAATGACCAGATTCTTTGCATTTATTTTTAAAGAGTTTTGCACTCACTGGAGACAAACAGAAAGGAGGAAAGTGAAAGAAATCCCCCCCTCCCATCGCCAAGGAGAGAAGGCCATGCTGCATTCCCTTCTCTTGTGAATTTGGGCACATGTGCATCTGTTGTGTTTTTCAAGCAATAGGGTCCTGGACTTGAACCAGGCCATGGACCGTGCAGGATCCAGACCCTTAACTACTACACCACCTGCTGCCCCGTCTTTACCCTTTTAAAAATTGGGTTATTTGTCTTGTTGTTGGATTGTGATACAGTTTTTATTATTCTAGATACATATCCCATATCAGATACATGATTTGTAAAAAAAAAAAAAATTCTTGTATACTGTGGTTTGTCTTTTTACTCTGTTATTGATGTCCTCTGAAGCATAAAATTTTTTACTTTTTTTTTTTCCTAATTGCCAGAGGGCATACAGGCGTGCATGAGAGTGTGTGTGTGTGTGTATTTGAGAGAGAGAAAGAGAGACAGAGAACTCCCAGCAGGGCGTGGTCATGCTATAATCCCTTCTCCATTTTTACTTCCTGTCAGGAGTTTGGACATACACACACTCCAGCTTGTTTTCCATGTTACAAGGGCTGCAGCTTGAACTGCAGTCAGCCATGTCTATGTGGGCATAGTTTATTAATTATAAACTTACTTGTATATGGAAAATTCATACTTATAAACTTTTATCCATGAAGGAAGTAGTAATTGCTTCCTGTTTCAGCAGTGATTAAATGGAGATCTAGAGAATTTTAGAGCCTCTAAGTTAAGCATACTCTTCAACAGTTTTATAGCATTATCTCTTTGTGGAAAAAGTTTTTAGCCTTCTTGCTTTGTTAATGGGTATTAAACTTTTTGTTTATTCCTAAACAATATTAGTTTATGCTTATAAATAGCTAACTTGAAAGAAATATTCTATCCAAGATTGTGAAAAATATATTTACTTCATTATGTTATTAATCAGATCTGCATCAGTAGAAAAATTGCCATAAATGGCTAGCTCATGCCTTCCCTTTTTTCCTCCATAATTCACAGTATTACTATCATTTTCAAATAGAAGTCTATGACTTAAGTCATATGTATACTTGTTTGGAGAGAATTTGTAGGTCGAGGGTTCATAGGGATTAGGTTATACTTGTCAAAGTCTTTCATTTCATATATAATATATACATATTTTTATCTCTTATTAGGTTGTAAGCTCTTTGAGAGCAAGGTCCCTGTGTGCTTTATACTATATTCTCCATGAGTTGTAGCAGAACACTTATTATATAGTAGGCAGAGACATCTGTTTAATGAATGGTTTCGCTATTAGAGGATCATAGATTTGAAAGGAAGAGTTAAAAACAGTCCCCCTTTACACTTGTGCAGGTTAAAGGAAGTGGGCATATAAGCATCTATGTTTTAGTTAAAATTGACTAAACTAACAGACCTTTTTTTTTTTTTTTTCCCTTTTCTGAAGAGATTTTTGCTATAGGGCGCATGTGCTCACGGGGAAGACAGACAGAAAGCGAGAAATCACCACCCAGGGGGAGGGGCTATACTGCAGTTCCTTCTCCATTCCCTTCTTGGGATTTTGGGCATGCATGCACATGGGCCTGGCATGAGTGTCAAGCTTCCAGGTCCTGGACTTGAACTATGACCGGCCATGCGGGAGTCCAGCGGTTTAACCACTACACCATTTCCTGGTCCCCAGACCTATTTTTTTTTTTTTTAATGGAAGAAGTTAGATTCACTTTTCATAACTTAAAAAGAAAGTTTTCTACTTTGAGTTTTCATTAGCTCTGATGCTTTACTTGTAGTACTTTCCAACCCTGAGATGTGAGAAATAGCATGGTATGATGTTAACACCAAAATGGCCTTACCAGACATAAATTATTCCCAGGTCTGTAAAAAACTGTACATCTTCCTGAAAAGCTGGATTTGATGTTGATTCTTTCATGATTAAAGATAAAGATACCTGAATTTAAAGTGAATCATCAAAACTACATTAAAGAAAATATTGTCTGATACTGTAATCATTCATATGCCAATACACATTTACGCAAACCCATAGAATGTACGTCACCAAGAGTGAACTCTAATGTAAAAAAGAAAACAAAGAAAAATCTGTCCATAAAGTCTGTGCTAATGTCTGCCTGTCATTTATTAGCTTTGTAGATTAACCATGGCCATCTTTTAATTAATCCAGTGTATCTTTGGCCCCTTCGAGTTCGTGGGCTTTTTCCTTTGCTATGTGAGTAGTAAGCAAAATAAAGTGATTAGCATGTTGTTTAATACTCCATTGCTAAGTATACAAAGAATTCTTCAGTTTCATGATACTGGAGGCTATGTGGTATATCCCTGAGGTCTTGTAAATTCCTTACAAATCTCTTAACATCTCTAGTTCTCCATCTGTGAAGTCAGTTATAAAACCAGAATTCCTGTCTCATGGCTCCTACCATGACGTGCTGTCTCACTTGAAGAATACGGAATTTTCATTCTTCCAAATCTAATTTGTAAATGATTCACCAAGAATAGCATTTCAAAGTTTAGTTCAAAACAGATCTATCAAAACAACAAATGTTACTTCATAAGCTTATTTTAAAAAAGAAAACTTGAGCATGGTGGTGCACACCCTATGGTTAAAAAGAAAACTTGGGACATTTATTTCCTGTCTGTCCTATTTTTTAAGGTTTTTGCTATAGGACCCAGACAGTTGCTAGAGAGAGACAAATAGAGGAAAAGTGAGAAATATCCCCGGGGGGTGGGGGGGTGATGATAACACCACAGTCCCTTCTCCGTTCTGGGATTTGGGGCATGCACATATGTGCCCAGTGTGGTTTTTCAAGCTGCCAGGTCCGGGACTCAAACCACAGTTGGCCATGTGGGAGACTAGCATGCTAACCACTGTGCTACCTGCTGACCCCTGTTTATTTCCTATTTGAATACAGTGATTTTCATATAGTCGTGTAGACTTTATTAAGCACCAGAATAGCAGGCTATAAATATTTAACTGGAGGGCATAACTTTTTAAGTCCTTACAGTTTTGACAATGAGCTAGTTTATGAATCACAACTTAAAATTTGAAGGCAGCTTTACTCTAGTAAACATAAAATTGCTTTTATAAAAGCAACTGTATATAGGGAGTGAGAATCCTTTTTAACTTAAAAAAAATCTGCAAAAGTCATTAAGTAGCCTTCACATACAGATTTTTCTATAGGATTGCTTCTTTGAAAGGCTCCAAGTATAAGTCTGTGAACATAGTATTAGATGTGTGCTTGGAAGGAGAATAGGAAGAGCTAAATGTTACCTAAAATAATGCATAGTCATGGTTGCTGCTTTGCTAAGCAACAGTGTTTGTCTCTTGGTGACCAGATCTGAGAAAGCTTGTTTCAGAGCCAAGAATAATGTCTTACCTGAAGAAAAAAACAAGGCAGGCTAATTTTGCCAATACTTATTAAAACATAAGAAAACTGAAGTCTTAGGTTTAAGATACAGACTTAGTCTCTTTTCCAGAATGGTTATCCTAAATCATGGAGTGTATTTCTGTATATCACATAACACTTTTCTAATTCACTTCTGTTCAGTACTTCCTTTGAGAACAGTGTCTTTTTTCATAGGATATGCCACGTGTTTTAAAAGTAAATTTACTTACTAAAAACGGTATGTAAATACCCTAATAATCACAAAACTGCAATAAATCATCAAATATTAATACTGAATTTAAACTGTGAACTTATTTTACTAAATGAATGCCCTCCCCTTCCTGGGTGGTGACCAGATTATTCTGGTATTTACTATTACTAAAAATAATTTATAAAAGTATTATATATAAATAAATTCCCAGTCTTATTTTTGTCTTATAAATTTAAATTCCACCAGGTTCAAATCACAATCTTAACTTTGTGTGTAATTTTTTCTTGCCTTCTGTTATCTAGACTGGAGGCTGAAAAATGGATTTGTTTTCTGTTAATGGGATACATGAATTTACTTAGCTTGGTAAAGATACCAAGGTACACCCCTTAAAATGTATATAACTTCATAGTGTGATCGGTTTAATCAGTCTAAAACTTATTTTTGAGGCTGATATGTGTTGAGTTGAGGGAGGGGTGGTGTGCATACATTTATATATGTAAGTATTTATGTACACGTATACAAAATTTGAATATGTTGTTTTCCTACCTAGTTCCAGTGAAAATGTGCTGCTATATTTAACACTAATAGACAATTATGAGAATCAGAAACTTGGAGCATTGCTAAATTTCCAGCAATTATTTTACATATATATCAGTTCTGCCAGATTGGCCACATAATAAAGATTAATGACAAGAATGTCAGCATTTAACAACCCCTCAAAAAATTTTATAGGAAAAAAGTATATGAAAAGAGGCAACATAATCACTGATTCTCGGAAAGCTAAAGTCTGTGGTGTAGAACCTGAACATTTTGCCACTTTCTTTAGAAAATTAATTGAGACATGTCAAAGGAATAAGAATGTGTTAGCGAAGTTTTCACTTATTCTAGAAACTAACTACAGGTACAAAGAATGTAGAAACTATTACATGTCACAGATAGGTGTTACAAGGTTTATTTCTGCAAAATGTTTTTAGCAATAAATTCAACCGTGACAAAACAGTCATTTAATTTTAACTTGTGCCCAAATATGCCTTTTTGTTATGGTTACCTTGGAGACTTGGGAGTTCTGCTTGTGTGATTTCCTTAAACACATGGAATTTTGGATTGGTGACAGTCCAGGAGGAGTGCCCACTTGTTAGCATGCAGGGTAATGTTTTTTCTGATTTCTAATTGAACTCATTTCCATTAAAGGAAAATAAACATGGCATATGTTCTGTTAGTTATAAATGTATTATTCTTCAGAGTCTTAATTTGCATAGAAAAACTTGGCATGACTTTCCCAACAACTTAATAGATGATGAATATTGGGGCTCAGGAAACAATACCCTATAGTAAAAGCCTCAGAAGCATCCATAGAAGCAAGAGTTTTTCTCTGACCTTCTCTTGCCCTCCAGATTTACCATCCTTCTTTCCTGAGGGAACATTGGAACTAGAATCCCTTTTTCCTAAAATCAGCCAAAAAAATCTAAAAATATTACTCAGACTTTCCGCTGCCTTTCTGTATAGAGATGGCCATAACGAAAGTTTCTGACCAGCCTTGTTTAATTGTAGGTCGTAAGACCTTCATTTCAGAAAGACCCTACTCCATACCTGGAAGGAAGGACTGCTGCACAGAGAAGCTGAGAAGGATCTGGACAGGCAGGCCTTCCCTGGTGGGAAGTCCATTTTCACTAGCTCATGTCCTTTTTGTACAGTTGCGTTTCAAGCTGTCCCCACTTCATCAAATCTAAGCATAAACTCACATAGCTTCCCCTGTATCTTTGGGTCTTCAATCCAAAACTCCTGTGTCAGGTAAAACTGATCAAATAAATTTGTATGCCTTTTCTCTTTACTAACCTGCCTATTGTCAGTAATTTTTTCAGTAATCCTTCAAAGGGAAAGGGAAAATTCCTTTCCCCTACTTGGGGAAGGTAGGGTTATTTTTTCTAAATGAGCTAGATTGCTGAGGATTATAAGGACTGGGCCACTTGTGAAGGGTCAACATATTTTAGAAAAAGTACAGAGTGATGGTATACATCGTTCTTTCCTTTTGTGTAATGATTGCTAACAAAGTAGTAATCTAGGCTTGCTTTCTTTTAGCTTTACATCATATTTGATGAGGTATTAACTTGCTATAGGGAGATAGGCCTGGGAATAGTGCTGCCAGAATTTGTCCCTAGTTCATTATTGTTCTGCTTAGGTGCTAAGTAGGTAAATTTAAATACTAACTTATTGGTAGGGGTTCAGTGCTTAGTCTTTGTAATGGTGCCGATCGTGTCAGCTCCTTCCCAGCTTTATTTCTCTGTGTAACTCTTCCCACCATTTGACGAATCAGATGCTTTGTTTACTTCCTCCTTTTTACCTCCACATACTTGAATATAATTTCTATAAAGGCAGAGTTAACAGAAAAACAACTTTTTTTTGTTCATTGCTTTAGACAAGTAGCGTCAACAGTGACTGACGTATTTAGATATAATACTGTGATGCAAGTAAAATATATGGAATGTACATTGGTTAAGTGTTAAGACTTCATTGTTAGGTTTAAGAGCATGAAACACTCGTGGATTACCCCAGGATATATTGCTATATAGAATAGAAGTAAAATATTTGGCACTAGCAGATGGCATAATGGTTACATTGCTAGATTCCCAGGACTCGAGTGCAATGCGAGTCCTGGGCCCAGTAGCTTGAGACTCACGCTGGGAGAGTGTGTATTTGTGCTCAGGATCCTGAGAGGAGTAGGGATTGCAGTTTGGCCATACACCCTGGGGGAGTGATTTTTCACATTCTATCTCTCTCTCTCTCCAGTGAGCACATGCGTCCCATAGCAAAAATCTCTCTTAAAAACATGTGTGTACACATATCTTATTATAAAAATAACAACTTACTTTAACGAGATAGACTCCTATCTTTATTTTGCCCCAGTAGCCCGCTGCTTTAAATTGATCATTCTGTATTATCATTTGTCTTTTTTTCTTGCTTTTCTGTACGGTCTGATACCAGCCACTGACTTGATTATTTCTCTAAAGGTCTGCTGTTTAGGCCTTTACCTTTTCTCTTCCCCAAATTTATCAGTACTATATACATACTTAACACCTCTTTAGAATTCTGCCACTCTCCTGGCTACTGCAGAACACATTCTCTTCTTTTAAATGTCATAGAAGGACTCATTTGACACTTTATTGGTTTGTTTTCCTAAACAACCTTTTAAACTTTTTAATAGCTACACTCTTTACTGTGGAAAAGGGAGTAAAAGAGATACAACTCAGGGCCAGCAGATGATGTAGAGGTTATGTCACTGGACCTGGTGAATTGAAAATGCTGGGCAATTGTGCATGCATGCCCAAGATGAGGAGAATGTGACCATCCCCCCTAGGGGGTGGTTTCTCATTTTCCCTCTCACTGTCTCTGGTGAGCACATGCACCCTATGGCAAAAAAAAAAAAAAAAAGAAAAAGAAAAGAAAAAAGTGATACACCTCTTTACAATTAGGAACCTAGTGAGATAAATTTCTTGAAGCTTTATAAAATGGAAAGGAAAAACTAATATGTCTTCTTTAAAATAAAGTTAAGGGACTATTGGGCCAGGAGGTAGTGTGGTGGTTAAGGCATTGAACTCCCACATGGCCAACCAGGGTTCGAGTCCTAGTCTCACTTTCCTTCTCTCTCTGGTGTGTGTGCCCTATTGCAAATTAAAAAGTAATTATAATAAAATTGAATTTTTTTTAATCTATCCCTCTTGTTTTTAAAGATAAGGAAACTAAAACAAAAAAATTAAAAGTGATTTGTCCAAACACCACTTGGTGACAGATCCCTTCTACAACTAAGTAGAGCAGCCTTCTTTCTCTCAAAATTGGATAAATAGTGCTATAGGATCATTTCTTTTTTTTTTTTAATTAAGAGGTAGAGGTGTTTTTTCTTTAACAATTATTTATTTAATTTATTATTATTAAATTTGACCAGAGAAGGGGAGAGAGGGAAAGTGAGAAAGCAAGCCACAAGGTCCAGGACTCAAACCATAGTCTAGTCATGTGGGAGTCTAAGCACACATGCCACCTGCCTGCCCCAAGAGGTAGAATTCTGAAGGCCATCATAGCAAAACAGCACTTATCTGTATGAATTGGGCTTTTTATTTGTTTTTAAATTTTACCAAAGGGCACATGCGTTCCATGGAAGGAAAGAGAGGAAGAAGAAAAGTGAGAAAGCATCCCCTCATGGGGAATGGTCATTTTTGCCCAGGGGGATGTGCACTCTCTGGGAAAAAAAGAGGAGGCGAGGGGAAGTGAGAAAGCATCCCTCCTCATGGGGAATTGTCATGCCATGCATTCCCTTCTTCATTTCTCAATCTTTTCAGGATTTTGAGCATGCATACAAACTTATGCCCTGGGATATGAACAGTGCAGTCAGCCATGTAGAATCCAGCCACCTTAACCACCAAATCACAGGCTGGCCCTGTGAATTGTTTTTACAGATTCTTTTAGGCAAGCCAGCCAGTGGTATGGCGATTAAGGCAAGCTGGATCCCACATGACCAATTTGTGGTTGAGTCCTAGACCCTGCTGCATGAGAAACACACCAGGTGTGTATGTGTGCGCGTTCCCAAACTCTTGAGAATGGAGAAGGGATTTCGGCATGGCCACTCCTCTTGGGAAGTGATTTCTCTTTTTCCTCCCTCCCTCTCTCTCCCTCTCCCTCTCTCTTTTTCTCCAGCAAATGCAGGTGCCCTACAGCAAAACTTAACAAAAAAAAAATTATTTAAGGCATGTAACTGTTTTGAAATTTGTTAAAAGTTTATAGTTTTCAAAATACTAGTCTTACCTTAATTTCTAAGAATAAATTATAAATACCCCCAATCTTAAAAACACTAATCCCAAATAAGCTTTAAAATCCAAAATTATTAGGAAGAACAAGAATCATAATCTGTAATGCCAAAACTATATTTTAAGTGATTTTTATAAAAAGATCCATCCTGTTTTTAATGTTCCAAATCCAGTAATAATGCAGTATTGTGGGTTCGTGTGTACCTGGCCTTCTCCTCATTTTGTAGCATTGCCCAGTCTTTGCCCTCCTTCCCTGCCAAGGTTTTTGCCTTAGGTCACGTGTGCTTGCCAGAGAAACAGGGAAAGTGAGAAATAAGCCCCAGAGGGGATGGCCACTCAACAGTCCCTTTTCCTCCATTCTCCTGGGATTTTGGGTATGTGTGCATATGCGCCTGGCCCGATTTTCAAGCCTCCAGGTTTGGGACTTGAACCTTGGTTGACCACACGGGAGTCTAGCACCATGCCACCTCCTGCCACACCCCAGTCTTTTTTTTTAAGCATTCTCGAAAAGCTTGGATTTGTCCAGTGAATTAGAAGTCTCCTTTGTTCAGACAACTTTGGGAACCCACATATTGACTCAATATTTCATCCTAGACCTAACACTGCTGGGCTAATAGAAAAATATGGGGTGGGTGTCTTCAAAATGTTTATTGAAAAATGTGTATTATTATTATTAATTTACTACAGGGCACACACACTTACCAGAGAGAGAGAGAGAGAATGTGAGAAAGCAAGCCACCAGGTCTGAGACTTGAACTTTAGTCTGCCATGTGGGAGTCCAGCACCTTAACCACCATGCCACCTTCTGGGCCCTCAGAATCTTTTTATACTAGAATAAACTCATATATTAATTCCATTTTTCCATGAACTTTATAAAGTTTCCTAGTGTACTATTTTGTCAACCTGATAACAGAAGACATCTAAATGACTAATGGGTGGAGAGCATATACAGGTCGATGTGCTGGACAAAGAGATGATTACAATCGCAGAGGAGATGGAGCAGCTCAGAAAGGCATCCAGTTTAAAAGTTACAGATTGTTTATCTCTGGAAGTTTCCATTTTATATTTTTTGACTGGTTGATTGATCATGGGTAAACTAAAACTGCAGAAAGTGAAGCCACACAAAATAGACTACAGCACATTACATCTGCTATTATCGGGTGTGCTTATATATAATTAATTTAATTCTCCCATGAGTGAGAGAAACAACACCCCTGAACAGGTCTTGCCTCTGATCCCTCTCAGCCTTCAGGAATCCCTGGATCTTGGGCATGTGTGTGTGTGTCAGGCATACTCAGAGAAGCCTCTGGACTTGAACCAGGAACATTCCTACGTGGGTCAGCCTCTCAAAACTGGCACATTTCACCACTGGGCCAGTCTGACTCCCGGTTTTTTTGTTTTTTGTTTTAAACTTCAGAAGTAATCTGGAATCCATGCTTACCAGAAGAAAAAAAAGTGACTACTAAAAGACTAAAGTGTGTAAAGAATAAAATGTGAAAGTCATCATCCTGTGCAGTTCTACCAAATCTTGTTCCTTTCTTCGGAGCTACCATTTATAGTTTATTGTTCAGCTTCCATGTATGCACCTTTACAGTTTGTTTTACTTTTTTTTTTTTTACATAAATGGGCTTCTAAAACGTTTTATAGTATGTCATTACATTATAGATAGAATTCATTCGTTTTCATTGCTGTATTTTTTGATGATTTTCCTATAATGGATACTTGTTTCCAGTTTTTTGCCATTATATAAAAAGGAATACTTTGAACTCTTTGTAAGCTAGTCAGTAAGTTTCTTATTGATGAGTAATCTTGCATTTTGAATGTTTCGTATTGATTCTGTTTGGCAGACATTTCTCCCAGTGTACTTGTCCTAGTGGCTTTATGAATGTTTTGTGTTGTCACCTGTGTTTTGTGCATTCTGGTGTTTCGGAACTATATTTATTTCCACAGAGCTATTTTTAACTGTCACTTGCAAAATACTTGCTTTTCCTAGAACCTCATGAATGATAGCAAGATGTAATAATATATAATACATTGCGATCATATGTAATGAATACGTATTGTAAGGATCAGTGAAAATTTTATCAACTTCAGACTTATAAAATAAATGTACTATATTCTAGGAGAGCACTGGGGTGGTTTCGTGTTATTCGTGGAACCACTGTAGTAGTCCCTCACTATTAAGAAATTTATTTCTGACAGATAATATGCTAGGCACTGAATGATAACAGTGGTGCACTAGAAGCATTCCATGTTTGTCTGAGTCCTTGGGATAGGATTTATCCCCAGTTATCAAAAAATGTCTAGGGACCAGCAGTTAGCGTAATGCCTATGTCACTGAACTTCCATGTAGCCAACTGCAGTTGAGCCCCAGACCCGGTGGCTTAAACTCATGCCAGGCGTGTGTGCGTGTGTGTATGTGTGTGTGTGTGTGTGTGTGTGTGTGCCCAAGATCCCGAGAGGAGAAAGGAGGAGAAGGGATTGCAATGCGGCCATTCCCCTTGGGGGGTGATTTCTCGCTTTCTATCTCTCTGTCTGTCTGTCTCTGTCTTCTGGTAAGTGCATGCACCCTATAGCAAAAACCTCTCCAAAACAACAACAAAATCTCTAACCTCAATGCAGCTATGTTACTAGGAACTGCTTTCCACTTATTTTTGCTGCCATCAATGACAGACTGCCCGAAAATATATAGTAAGCCCTTAGCAAAGCGGAGTCCACAAAGTAACAAAGAGTGGACTTAATTTAACTTGGAATTTTACAGTTAAAAATTCTAGAGTATTTTATATCTCTTTGTATGTGGTGTGTACCATGGTGTTGCCACACGCTGCTTATGGGATGAGGAGTCAGAGTACTGTAACTTTTTCAGTGTTTAAGGCCTTCGGTTTGACTGTGACCATTTATTCTGCCCTTCTGCCTTGACATTGCACAACTTGTGCTCCTGAAACTTGGGCTGATTTTTTTCCTGCCACCACTAATCTCCTGTGGAAGTAACTTGGACTTTCTCTGCTGCTTCTCTCTTACAGGAGGAAATACCTTTATAAGGGGTACCATAAAGCCAGCATCTCATAAGGCTCTGTCATCAGCTCACTTCTGCTCTTTACACTCTCTCTCTACCTGACTGTATAGTTCGTAAAAATTATAATTTTGTTGCCACCCCTCCTCTCCACGTTAGGGGAAGAAGAGAGGAATCCTTTCTTTTTTTTCTAGATGGTGCAATGCTCTTTTGGGAAGAGATAACCAGGGATAAAGAAGCTTTTTCTGTTTTGAAGGGACTAGAACTTTTACAGCACAACAAATTTGGACAAGTTTGACAATAATTCAGCTACATTTTATTTTAAATAAGTTTCTGAATGAATTTGCTAACCTAACCACCACATAGACCTATTTACAACTTGAAATTTGCCTTTAAAATCATGAACGCATAAAGCACTGTAGTGCTTGTAACACTCTTCCATATTATTATAGGTGACTAAATGACCATGGAATCTGGAGCAGAGAACCAGCAGAGTGGAGATGCAGCTGTAACAGAAGCTGAAAACCAACAAATGACAGTCCAAGCCCAGCCACAGATTGCCACATTAGCCCAGGTATAAAATATGTGGAGAGGTTCCAGGTTGTGTCTCTTCCAAGAGAAGTATGTTTCCAAGACAATTTAGATTTTGTTACAAACATATACATAGAATGAGCAGAGATGTTAACTAACTTAGTATTAGCATATGTTTATAAATGATAGTATTAATTCAGTAATGTAACAGTAAAATGCATTGTTAAACACTAGTAGAGTATTTATAGTAACACGATCCAGAAATAATTGTATTCTTAATTACTGGGTAAATTAGTTGGCTGTCTCAAACAAGGGAAGAAAACCTTGGAAATGACAGCTGGCTTTTCTCATCCCATTTATTTTGGAGCAGGTGGTACAGATAAAGTGGAAACCTACATTTATATACTTTTACACTAAAGAATAGGATAAGCAGATAAACGGCATGGAAGTAAATTTTAAGGATGATAGTATTGTTTCCTGTATGTTGACATTTTTTCTTCATCATGATAGAGCTCACACATGTGAGAAAGCATACTCCGCAAGGTCTTGTCACACCAGTGCCCACTCTCCAGCCCATTGAATATGGGCATTCACGTGTATGTGTGTGGCCTAGTTCAGGCTGACTGGGTCAGGGACTCAAACTGTGGTTGCCATGTGGGATACAGTTGCTCAAGCAGTACATTACCACTGTACCATGGAGCTGACTCTTGAGTGTGTGTGTGTGTGTGTGTGTGTGTGTGTGTGTGTGTACATACACACACTTTTAAAAATGTAATTATTTTATTTTATTTTATTACACCATTTTTTAAAATTTGCTATAGGGCACATATGCTCACCAGAGAGAGACAGTGGGTGGCAGGGAATGAGAAAGCAAGCCACTAGGTCCCAGACTTGAATCACGTTCTGCCACACGGGAGTTCAGTGCCATAACCATCATGCCACCTGCTGGCCCATACTCTGAAAAAAAATTCCTGATTTATTTTTTTCTTTTGTTTCAAACATCCTGTCTCTAAACATGTATTCAGTTATCTTTTTGTTTTCAAGTATTTTTCCTCAAATATTTTATTTTATGAACAACTATATAGATATGAGTGAGAAAGATAGCTAATAAAAAAAACAAATAGAAAATAATAAAACTGCGAGGTAAGAGTGTGATCTTAACCCTTTCCAGATGAAGGCTTCCAGGAGAAAAAATTTCTAGCAGGAGCTCTGGTATCTCTAGCTTGAGTTTCACCAAGAAAGTTTCCAGGGGAGTCACTGGGCAAGAATGAAATTTAGGAAATAAAAGGCTCACCACAGTTTGAGGTATCTGGCAGAGCCAAAGTTTAGGCCAGATACTGGATCTCCAGCAAGAACACAGAGGAGTAGGCTGTTACGTAAGACAAAGCCTAATATACTTGGATGAAGTGAATGTACTTAGATGAAGCTGGGTATAGGAATGAAGGAGACTGATAAGCCAAACTTCCCCAGTACAGAGGTCAAGGCAAGCAAGCATCGGTAAGAATTTGGGCTCATCTAAGTATTCTGCCCTCTGGGAAAAAGGAGATACAATGCCAGCAGGCATCTTGGTGATGACAGTTCTCATATATCTGTCTTTTGGGTCATGCCATTATGTCTGGTCTGCTGCTTCTCTAAGTCTGTTCTATGGTATCATCCTGGGAATTACATTCACCCTACTGTCTTTTTTCTTAAGAGGCTTATGTTCTTAGTATAGTGGAGGTTGTTTTCTGATAATTTCTTGACTTAAATCATTTTGTGGGGAATTTTTTAATTGACATGGGTTTTATTTTTTTAAGCTTATAGTCTTTTTGTTCAATGAGCAAGAGAGACAGGCAGATAGACAGGTAGCCCCAACAGGATTTCCATACTGTAGTCCATCCTCAGCTTTATTTAACCCCCGATCATGAGCATCCACGTACCTGGCATGGTTGGGGGAGGTCCCCAGACCAGAACAGGGCCCCTCCCCATTTGGGTCAGCCTCACAGGACGTTGCATTAACACTGCACTACCACTGCATCACTGTCTTGATGCCATTTGGGGGAAATTTTGAAAGCCCTGATAAATAGTCAACTTCTAGTATTGTTCCTTGGAAAGACTAAATTCATTCTTAAATTCTTAAAGACTAAATAAATTCTTAAATTCTTCATTTTGTGTCTGCTATCTTGAAAGTCTTCTCTGTTCAGAGTGCTTCAAAATTTCTTTAGTATGGGTACTGCTTTGGGTCAGTACTTATCAACTTTGCTATGTATTTAGTGGGCCCTTCTGTGGTGAGAACTCCTTATCTCTGACTCCAGGCAATTTCTTTAAATTATTTGGTTGATGATTTTTTCCCCCCACTCTCCTTTCCCTCTAGGGTCCTTGTGATAAATATTATACTTCCAGGACTATGTATCTGACTTTCTCATCTTCTCTCTCTGTTGTCCATCTTTTTGCTCTAGTTGTTGATTTTGTTCAACACATTCTAACCAATCTGTTGACTTAAAATTTCTGCTTTTCTGCTTCTAAGAGTTCCTTTTGTTATAGTACCTTTGTGGGTGTTTTTTTTTTTTTTTTTTTTTTTTTGGAGAGATTTTCGCTATAGGGCGTGTGCACTCACCAGAGAAAAAGACAGAAAGCGAGAAATCACCCCCCAGAGGGGATGGTCACGCCGCAATCCCTTCTCCTCCATTCTCCTCTCGGGATCTTGGGCACACACATGCCCGGTGTGAGTTTTTTAAGCCACTGGGTCCAGGACGCAAACCGCAGTCGACTACGTGGGAGTCCAGTAACATAGCCATTACGCTAACTGCTGGTTCCCAGTACCTTTGTGTTTTAATAGCATTCTATTTGCCTTTGACAAAGGCAGTATTTTCTGTTATCTCTGAGAATTTTTTTTTTTCTGTTTTGTTTTTGATAGCTTGTGTGAGAGAGAGAGAGCATGCACATGCTTTTACACAACACCTCAGCAAGGTCTTGTGATACTATGCTGCCATGGCTCCTTCCTGCCCCTCTGGCTCCTGAGGTCTCAGGTGCCTCACATGTGCATCCCTGGTGGATTTCAAAGCTGACCCGTAGTGCAAACCCACTTTTGCCTTAAGACTTCCATTTCGTAGGGTACTTACATTACTGCTGTGCCCGTAGCAGCTAGACCTAGAATTTTTATTATGTCTTCTTCTCCCCCAAATAAATTATTCTCTTTTTTTGGAGAGGTTTTTGCTATAGGGCGTGTGTGCAGAAAGTGGGAAATCACCCTCTAAGGGGGATGGCCACGCCGCAATCCCTTGTTCTCCATTCTCCTCTCGGGATCCTGGGCACATATGCACATGCATCTGGCGTGAGTTTAAGCCACTGGGTCCAGGACTCAAACCACGTTCAATTACATGGGAGTCCAGCGACATAGCAATTACGCGAGTTGCTGGTCCCATGAATTTTTATACGTGTAGCTTTTTCCCTTCCCATTTGTCTTGGTCTCTATCTTTCATATTAGAGGCTTTCCTCAAATGTTTGATAATATGTGGATTTCTGCTCAGGTTTAAATATGTGGGACCAAGAAGTTATATTGACAGCTCTTGTGGATATGTCTGGGGATTGACAGCTATGAGCTATGAGTTTCACTTTAAGGTAATTAGGTGGTCCTAATGTCAGTATCTTTTAGGTCTTTCCCCAAAGAACACTTACTAACTCAGCACTTGGAGGATAAAGGCCTAGGAGCCAAGTGAGAAAAGAGGAATGGGGTTTAGTACTCATCTTCAACAAGACTTGGGGTTAGGCACTCAAGATACACTCTGTCCGGAGAAAAAAAAAAATCTCCATTTTTCTGTTGGGGTAGGAAGTGGATTAACGTCGTTTCTCAGGAAGTTGGGGAGGGGATCTAATTGGTTCAAAGAGCCTTCCTTATTTTCAGCCTCTTTCCACTCCACCTTCTGGAGTGCTATAGATCCTGTGAAAATTTTGTGGTGCAACTCAATCTTGCCCTACCTCCAGCTCATGGATTGGCCGTCTGAGATCCTCCTAGTTCATTAGCATTCATCCATCTGCTTCCTAGCCTCTAAAACTGTTATTATTATCTCCTTTCCCATTCTCTAACACTTGTGTGATTATGCCTGTAAAAACGATTTCATGACATTTAATCAAGGATTGAGAGAGAAAGCAAAATGATATGAACATGTTCAGTTTATCATTAACAAGCAGTTACTAGCACTGAATACTTAAAAACAGGGTGATCAGATCTGAGTTTTCACAAAGCTGGTATCTGTTCTTACTTATTTTTGGTTCTTTTCATTTCAAATTACAGTGTGTTTTTTTGGTTTTTTTTTTTTTTTCACTTGTTCGTGAAAGTTTCTTTTTTTTTCTTAAAAGGATGGTTTTGTTGTTGTCTGTAGGGCGTGTATGCTCGCCAGAGAGACAGAGAGAGACAGTGAGAGAAAAGTGAAAAGTCATCCCCAGAGGGGGAGGTCATGCTACAATCTCTTTTCCAGTCTTCTCTAGTTGAGCACGCACACTCATGCCCGGTGTGAGTTTCAAGCCTCCAGGTCCAGGACTCAAACTGGTTGACCATGTGGGAGTCCAACCCCTCAACCACCACACCGCTTGCTGGGCCTCTTTTCATTTTTTTTTTTTTAAGAATTATTTTACTGGGAACCAGCAGTTAGCGTAATGGCTATGTCGCTGGACTCCCACGTAGGCGACCGCGGTTCGTGTCCCGGCCCCGGTAGCTTAAAACTCACGCCGGGCGCGTGTGCGTGCGTGCCCAAGCTCCCGAGAGGAGAATGGAGGAGAAGGGATTGCGGCGTGACCATCCCCCCAGGGGGTGATTTCTCGCTTTCTGTCTCTATGTCTCTTTCTGTCTGTCTGGCGAGCGCACGCGCACTACAGTGAAAATCTCTCCAAAAAAAAAAAAAAGAATTATTTTACTGAACTTTATTTTTTTTTTTATTCACCCAGTAATTTATTTAAATTTGACCAGAGATGGACAGAGGGAGAGAGAGAAAAATGAAAGAAAGCCACTGGGTTCAGGATTCGAACTGTGGTCAGCCATATGGGTGTCCATGTCCTTAACTACCACTTGCTGGCTCTTCTCTTTTCATTTTTAACTTGCTCAAGCAAGTGCTCTCACCAGAGAAAGAGAGAAAGAAAGAAAGCACCTTCTAGGGAATTGCCACACTGTTATCCCCTCTTTTCCACTTTCTTCTTGGGATTTTGGGCACGCATGTACATCACTAGCTTGTTTTTGAAGTTGCCAGGTCTCGGATTTGAACCATACCATGTGGAATCCAGCCACCTTAACAACCGTGCCACTGGTGGGACCAGCAATTAGCGCAATAACTATGTTGCTGGATTCCCAAGTAGTCGACCGTGGTTCACGTCCCGGACCTGGTGGCTTAAAACTCATGCTGGGCACACGTGGTGCGTGCCCAAGATCCCGAGAGGAGAATGAAGGAGAAGGGATTGCGGTGTGGCCATGCCCCCGGAGGGTGATTTCTCCCTTTCTGTCTCTCTGTGTCTTTCTGTCTTCCTGACGAGTGCACATGCTCTATAGCCAAAAAAAAAAGAAAAGTGCCACTGGCTGGCCCTATATCATATATTTTTGACACGATTTTCTTTTAATTCCAGTGGCTTTTTTTTTTTTTTTTTTTTCCTTTTTTTTGTTTTTAGGTTTCTTTCATGAGACACACACACACACACACCACACACACACGTACTCTCAACAGGGTCTCACATGAGGATTACACCTCCATAGACCTTCAGCCAACCTAAATTACTGTCTTTAATGTCAGTCATCAAATACTAGGAAAATACAATAACATTTCAAACGGATTCAGTGGTTGTGATTTGATCAACGAACAGGGAAAAAGAAATATAACCTATTTTTCCTATTATAGAAATATAGCCTAATGTATTTCCTATTATGTAGCCATTAAAACCATTAAAGAAGACTTTAATGGCATGGAAACATACTTATAATGGATTTTAAAGATAAAATAGGTCCCATACTAGTATGTTGTAAAAATTAAGTGTACCTATGTGCCTTAAAAACCATCTAGAAGATCTACAGCAAAAATGTTAAAAGTGAGTAGCTCTGGGTAGTAGGAATATAAAGGAGTTGTACCTGATTTTTGTATATCTGTATTTTATAAACTTAAAGTGAGAGAAGTCATTCTATGGAATAGTGAGGGTCAAAAAAGGATTTTTTATTGAATTAACTTCTTTTTTTTTTTTTTTTATTTTATTATCATCATAATCTTCTTTCTATTACACTAGATTACATATAACTTTACATTGACTTCCATTGCTTTTTCAAAAGGGAATGCCATGCATGTCAGTCAATACAGAGACATCAATCTCCCCGCTTTATCATTCAATATCTTTTCCATGCTTTTCCCAATAATTATTATTATAATTTTTTAAACAGTCAATCACTATTTCTCATTTTGCTTATTAAAGAGACTTCACCCATCATGAAATATTTCCCAGACCGGTTCAGTTGAGAATACTATACATGTCATCATCAACAGGTAATAAACCATATCTATTTCTCATTAACATCCTGCCTCTCTATTGTTCCCTGCTGTCTTTATCCTCTTCTCTCTCCTTTTTTTTTTTTTTTTTTTTTATACTTTGTTTTTTATTATAAATTTTTTTTTTCTTTTCTCATCACAACACACATATGAATTTTCCATCCAAAATACACTGTGCATTGGCTCAATCAAGCACATCAACATATATGTTCTCAGCAAATGATTTCCCAATTTTTGTGTCCTACATACCTTGCCTTTATTGAATTAACTTCTTAAATTTACCCTAGAGAGGACTCAAGGCAGAGGACTTACTACTTACTTCATATGTAATTAAGATGAGATTTCTTAGATTTTCTCTTTAAAAGCAGGGCTTCTTGTGTGATGAGTACAGATAGTCCATGGGCCACATTTTGAGAACCAGTAAAGCTAAAGAAAATTTATAGTGCCCAGAGAAAAAAGTAAAAAGGAAAGAGAGATTCCTTAACCGTGCAAGGTTAGAAGTCCATGGCCTTAACCCATGTGCCCAAGACTTATCTTTCGTAGAGATCTTTCCTCCAAGCTTCACAGTAGAAGTGTCAAACGTTTCTGCAAATTCAGGTGTCAAATCAATTCCATTAACTTCCATCAGAATCCCAACCAGCCAAAACTCACCCTTCTTCCATTCTCTGTTTTGGTCGATGACAGAGTCTACCAGTTCTCTCTCAGACATGAAACATGAGGGTCATCTTTGATTTCTCTCTCAACCTTCTTCAGCCAGTCATTTATAAAGCCCTTCTTGGTAAGCCTCCAAATTATAAAGTCACTGCCCTCGATTCCATGCCTACTACTATTACTATCCCATGTCTAGCCTGAATCATCTCACCCAAATTCAGCCTTAACATAGGCTTTCCCAGCTGGTCTCCCTACTTACACTTTTTTCCCTCCTTCTGAACTACTTGTCATTCACACTGCCACTAATGTGATTTATCTGAAATGCAAACCTTGCCATGATAGTCATGAGTTAAAAGGTCCTTCATTGACTCCCCCCACATCCTCAGGATAAAACGCAGGCTCTTTGGGACCAGCAAATGACGTAATACTTACATCGTTAGACTCCCACGTAGTCGACCACGGTTCAAGTCCTGGACCCAGTGGCTTAAAACACTGGGCACATGTACATGTGTACCCAAAATCCCAAGAGGAGAATGAAGAAGGGATTGTGGCATGGCCATCCCCCCTGGGGGTGATTTCTTGCTTTCTGTCTCTCTCGTCTCTCTGATGAGCACACGTAACCTATAGCAAAAAATTTCTCAAAAGAAAAAAAAATGCAGGCTCTTTAATGTGGTATCTACAAGGCCTTTTATGACTACCTCATTTTCTAAAGTATTTGCTGACAGTCCCTTTCTGCTATGTGCAGACAGTGCTGTTTCTCTTTGATTTGCCAGTGCTACCCTTTGCCTAAAATTCCGTGTCTCTCCCCTGGCAGGTCATAAGAAGTCTAACTTGGATTCCTTGTTTCAAATTCATATTCTTCTCTGGTAGCCTCCTCTCCTTTTTGGTTCATTGGGTAGCGCTCCTCATTTCTGTTAGTAGAAAATACCGAGTTGTATTTACTTGTATCTCTGTTCCTCATTCTTTCACACACATACCTCAATAATTTCCTTGAGGTCAGGAACCCATACATAATTTTCTCATTTTTGTAGATTGGGTTCTAATTTTGTTCTGACACATAGGTTTGTGTAGTGAGTAAACAAATAAAATTCCTTCCACTCATACATGCAGGTCTATGAACAAGATGCACCTTATAGACACATGTTTGACTTAAGAGCTCATTTAACCTGGATGTTAACTTATTAAAATTGTCTTCTTTGTGCCTCAAGAGATAATTGGTTTCTCTAATATTCTTTCAGTTCTGCCCTTTTATTGATTCAAGAAGAAAACAAATGCTTAGAATATCAATTATTATCTAGTGATTTTTGAGGAAGCGAGAAATACTTATTTCCAATTTATAATACCTGTGGATACTTATTGAAGAAAAGGCATACTTGTAATTACCTTAAAAGAGAGAACTATGCCACATACTGAAAGGTGTATATTTATAAAATGCTTACGAGTTCAGTTTTGTGCAAGTTTGAAATGTTAGAATATGGCTTATATGAAGACTTATATTTCAAGATTGTGTATCTTTTAATCTTGGCTGTATTAATCTCTGGGCTGTTGATATTTCTGTTTATAAAATGGATATCCTTATTACTCAGTTGTTAATTTCTTCAAACAGCAAAATGAGAAATTGATAGGAAAGCAGGTGGGAAAATGTAAAACTCCATACAAATAAAGTGGTTAGGGTTCAGAGGAAGTCTGTGTTACATATTTTGATATTATCTTAGAATAGCTTTTTGTTTTTTGTCATTTGGATAGCGCTGAAAAGTGGGCAGAGGGGCACTATAGTTTTTTTTTTAAATAGTAAATGTGCTCTTTAGTTTCTTTCACATCAGTGAAATACTTACCTAGCAGAAAGGTCATATATTTGCTTCTAAAAAGTGATTTCATATTGAACATAAATACTCCCAAGGAGGTGTTTGTGATGGTAATTTTTTTCCATGTTGAATACCATAGGTATCTATGCCAGCAGCACATGCAACATCATCTGCTCCCACCGTAACTTTAGTACAGCTGCCCAATGGGCAGACAGTTCAAGTCCATGGAGTTATTCAGGCGGCCCAGCCATCAGTTATTCAGTCTCCACAAGTCCAGACAGTTCAGGTATGTGTATAAAAGTTCTGCATCTAATATCCTAACCATTTTTTATAGCCATATCTCTCTCCTTTCATTAGTTATGAAAATAAGGCCACATTGAGTTCAAAGTTTGTTTTACCTCACAGTAAAGGAATATGCTGCATCTGTATAGAGACCATGTGTATGGAAACGTATATACAGAAGAAGAGAATAAAAGAAAATAACTTTTTCTTAAGCTATAGGAGAAAAATCATTGGGCATTGATTCAGGAGAGTAGTTAAGTTCATGGGATAAAGTGGAAATGTTTCAAAGGCACTGTATAGGACTTATTTAGTTAAGAAAAATTGGTTAAAAAACAACTTTGTAGTTATTTTCTAATTCTGCAATTGGGGGAAGCAAACAAACCTTTCATCAGAAATTGATAACCTTTTTTAAGATATTATGTGAACCTAGAGATCACAAAGAATATGTAAAATCAGCTGTATTTAGTGTTTTCAGTTAGATTATATGCAATTTTGAAATAATAATATATCCAAAAGGTACATGATTATGTTATTCTTCAGAGAAGTTATTCCTTTAGGTAGGATCCAAGGGGAAGAAAGGCACTTGTAGACTTCTGAAGGTGACTAATTAATTGTAGAGAACCAAGAGCAGTCTAGATCTTTGCAGTTGAGCTTATTGAAGAAAAAAAAAAAAGAGAAAAAGAACATTCATTCAAGTAGGCCATAACCCCAGCCTCCCATTTCATATTTTTTGCTTCACAGTCTTCCTGTAAGGACTTAAAAAGACTTTTCTCCGGAACACAGGTGAGTCCTAGGTCCTAGATTTGGAGAGAACTATTATTAGAAAGGAAGGTGAGAAATTATTCTTTATGTGTTTGTCCTTCTCTATAAACATGGAATTTTAAGGCTTGACTAAAAAACCTTAGATTTAGGCCAAATTTAGGCCAAACTTGTTACTTACCCAGCCCTCAGTCTGTTGCCTAAAATTTCCACTATAACATTTCTCCCCTCTTCAAATAGTAGGTAATCTAGCATTTACTTGAATACTTTCAGGGAAAGGAAGCTCTACTCCTGGGGTAACCTATTTATAATTATGGGCAGTTGCTAAAATATTCTGAAACTTCTACCTGGTGATCCCAGTTCTATCCTTGGAAACTAGGATAGCAAGTCTAATTCCTTTCCTGTTGGACTGCTTCCTCTTTCCATTTCCCACATTCTTCCTATTAAAAAAAATATATCTAGACTAAACAAATTCTTGTTTTTCTTCAGCATTTTAGTTGGTATAGCTTTGATTCCTCCTCGCCATCCTGGTGGATTTCTCCTGAATGAGAACTGTTGAGTGTGGTAGCTAGAACTGATTGATACTTGTAGAGGAGAGAAGTTTATGTCATCAAAAATGTAACAAATTTTGCCAGCCATGTTATACTATTGAGCCACTGAGTTGCTTACTGACCTGCACTTCATTCTGTCCTTTTACTTTTGGTGTCCTAGCTACTGAGTTGAGGTGGGAGGGAGGGAAAAGAGGAGAGAATGTTTTTGTCTGAAATCAAGCTCTGTTTATTTCTGTAATACACTGGAAATGGAATTTGTTAACAAACTGGAGATAGTAATGTCCGTGGAGAGATGTATGAATTTGGTATTTCTCCCTTTTATTTCATTGAATGCTACCCCACCATTCTCTATACTGTGTCATTATTTATTCGTCATCCATAATCTACATTGGATAATAGTAGAAAGAACCTGACCTGCACACCCTGGTTGGACATAAATAAGACAAATGACCTGTGTCTGCCAACCTTTACTTTTACTTTTTTACTTAAAGAAGGAATTTCTATAAAAACATACTAAAATTCTAACCATAAAAATTAAGATTATAATTTTTGGTTCTAATATGTGATATATAATTGTTGGTTTTAATCTTAATCTTTACTTTGGGGCAACCTAAAATTTGGATCTGGAGATTTTATTTGTCTTCATAGAAATATGTTATTCATCTTTTCATGAACACATTTCTCTATTAAGATGCTGTTCTTATACTTTTAGGTGTGTATATTTGCAAAAGAAAAGTTAGACTTTTTGAAGCCTGGTTTCTATAAATAGTTGCGCATACAGTTTGTGTTTTTTTGTTTTGTTTTTCAATTGCCAGAGGGCATCTTTCCTCACCAGGAGAGCAAGAGGGATAATGTACCTCCCTTCCCAAATGGGGCATAGTCACAGTGCAATCCCTTCTCCATTTGTCCATCCTGTTAGGGTTTTAGGCGCGTATACCATGCACCTGGCATGTTTTTAACCGGCTGGGGCCAGAATTCAAACCGTGGTTGACCATGTGAGATCTGTCTCTCTTAACCACTAGGTTATGGGCATGTTTTTTGTTTGTTTATTCGTTTGTTTTCCATTAAAGGACCTAAACAGTGGAGAATCTGTTTGAATTTCATCTGCTTAATGGTGATTAGTATTAATAAGCAGGAAGTAGTTTACATCAGAAGAGGTGATCAAAGGAGGAGAGGAATAATCCTTCAGATTTATAGATGGGAAAATATTAGTATTCCAGAACAAAGTTTCTGAAATATGTAAGGTACCTTTCTCTTGATGTGAAAATAAGATATAGACCTCTGTTTACATACTCTAATCTAAAAACTTTAGAAACTAAGCTGTACTAGTATTTCATATGTGGTTTGACTTTGGTGTGCTAACTTTTATCTTAATCTATATATATACACACATCACGTTTCATTTTGAGAATCCTTGCAAAAATAATGGAAGCTGCTCAGTGATTAACAGTGGTGTTCTTACTTTTTATTCAGTAATTTTGTCTGCATTTCAGTATAGAACAGTTTAAATTGACACACAGGATATTATTATAAAGCATTAACTCATTCTTCAGCAAATGTTTATTGATCACATGTTTTATGCCAGTCACTATTGTAGATGTTATGAAAGACAGCAGCAAATAAAAAAAACTTCTCCATTCTTTTGATCACATTTAAATGAAGAGACACTGAAAAAAACAAAAGTACAAGGATACTAAAAAAGTTCATGGACTTAAAGTACAAGTTTATTAGGATGCCAAAAAAATTGAATTCCGTGTGTAATTTTTTTCTTAATAGACAATTTCCAATGAACTTTTTGAAGATTCTACATATGTCAAATGAAGATAAGTGCTAGAAAAATGACTAAAGAAATAACAAACAATGTGAAGGGAAGGGTGTTATATTTTATATGAGGTAGCCAGGGGACCTAGTGAACAGGGACTATAGTGAAGGAGGCTAAGCCATGTGATGATAAAAGCAAGTACAGTAGTTTGGAAGTGAGAGTGTGCTTGGGGTAACAAAGAATAGCAGGAGGATGCTGTTGGAATAGAGTAAGCAAGAACTAAGTGGTTGGAGATGAGATTTACAGTGCAAGTTTGTCTTCTCTAAAAATTCAAATCTGTACACTTTAAACTGATTTAATTTTCTTAACTACCCAGAAGTCTTCCAGAGTTTTACAAGCTGTTGAACTTATTTGTTAAAAGTACAGAATTATAGAGCCAGCCTTTAAGTCTAGTTGGTTAATGGAGCTAGGTCCTGTGTGGTCAACCGTAGTTTGAATCTGGGCCTCAGTGGCTTGATAAACATATAATGAGTATGCCCCAAATCCCAATAAAATGGAGAAGTGGAGTGAAAGGATTGTAGTGTTATTATGCCCCTACTGGGGAGGTACTACCGCTCTAACTCTTCCCCCTACCCCTTTTTCTCTCTGTTGAGCATATGTGCCCTCTAGCAATTAGAGAGAGAAAATATAGAGAGAAATTGTAACACCTTCCTATTGGTGTACAGTAACTGACTTAGAGCTAGGTAGAGGAAAATAACACTACATAAATCTGGTATAAATGGTAGGAAATTTTTTTTTTTTTTAACCAAAGAGATTTTTGCAATGAGGCATGTGTGCTTGCTAGAGAGAGCAACAGACAGAGACAGTGAGAGGGGAAGTGAGCAATCACCCATCAGGAGGGATGGCCATGCCAAAGTCCCTTTTCCATTCTCCTCAAGGAATCTTGGGCAAACATGGACACACACCTGGCATGAATTTCAAGCCACTGATCTGGGACTCGAACTATGGTCATCCATGTGGAAGTCCAGGGACATAACCATTACACCATCTGCTGTCCCCAGTAGATGAAAAATTTGAAAGTGATTTTATTTAGTAAACATAGCCTAAAATGCATTTCAGTTTGTTATCTTTGTATTGTGAATTCAGCTCTCTTTTTCGACACTAGAAAGTTTTAAATCATATTTCAGAAACCCAAACTTAGATAATCTGACATTTCTGAATCACTGTTATAAAGTATTAAATGATCTTTTAATGATGCATGCTAAATCACATCATTCTCACTATTAGGGAAAAATTAAATTATTAATTTAGGAAAATTAGAAATTAATTTTATATTTATCCTGTCTCTTAAAGAGCTCTTGTTTTATAATATGAATAACACTTAAAATGTACATGCTTATGTAAGGTTTTATTGCTGTATAGAAGGGAGATCTTCAAATTCAAAGAGTTCGAACCTTTTCCTAGACTTCTACTGAGCTTCTTGATTCAGTGACTAAAAAACTGTCTTATGATTTTCAACTCCATGCAAAGTTCTTGTGTTTGCAGGGGACCATATAGTATAGTTTTAGAGAACATCTAATGTTACCATTGCTTTGATTTGGTTCTCATTAATGTATTGTTTAGTTTTAAATTTCAAATAATCAAAACAAGGAGGTTTTTTGTTTGCTTGTTTTTCCATTTAAATAGGCTGCAAGGGTTTTAAACCAACTGAAGTTGAAAAATACAGATCTAAAACTTCACTTCTAGAAAGAGGTGTTTTAGCTTTGGGAAAATTTCTTGACTTACCCTCAAGTGGCCAAAATTAAGACCTATTAAGGAACTTAAGAAAAGGTTAATAAGAGGTGGCATGAGGTAAAGAATAGAAGAGATTTTATCTTTGGAATGTGAAGTTAATCAGTGATACTTAAAATTGGGATATGATTATTTTAATATTAAGACATAACTCATAAGCATTATAAAATGGATTTTGACATTTTTACTAGTCTCAGAAATGTGGGTCCAATGTGATTTTTTTTTTCCAGCAATTTTAGGTTCACAGCAACATTTGAGGGGAGTGTACAAAGATTTTCCATATACCCCTTGCTTCCTTCATAATTAACTACCCCAGACCAGATTGTTCTAACTGATGAACCTGTACTGATGCCATAATCTCCCAAAGTAGATAGTTTACATTAGGCTTCACTCTTGGTGTTGGAACATTGTTTTTTGTTTGTTTATTTGTTTAAAGAGATTTTTGCCATAGGGCATATGCTCTCACAGGAGAGACAGAAAGTGAGAAATCACCCCCCCCTTCTTCCCCCCAGCCCTTGGCCAGCCGGAGATGACTGTAGTCTCCCTTCTCCTCTAATCTCCTCTTGGGATTTTTGGGCACACATACACTCCAGCCAGTGTATTTTTTAAGCCATTAGGTCTGGGACTTGACTCACAGTTAGCTCCATGGGAGTCCATTCTGGTCCCAGTGTTAGAACATTCTATGACAGTATGATTTTGTGGAGTTTAGGGGGAGCATTAGAGTCCAAGAAATTTGTTTCATAGTTGTTTTATTTTTTCATTTTGATTTTTGACACAGACAGGGCACATGTGCTCACCGGAGAGAGACAGAGAGGGAGAGTGAGAAATCATCCCCCCGGGTGATGGCCACACCACAGTCTCCCCTCCTCCATTCTCCTCTCAGGATTCTGGGCGTGCGCACACACACATGTTCTGGTGTGATTTTCAAGACACCAGGTCTAGGACTTAGAGCATAGTAACTATGTGGGAACCCAGCACCTTAACCACCACACCACCTTATAGCCCATAGTTCTTACTTCTCCTTGTATAGGAAATGTTGCATTCATTATGTGGTATTGAATGATTCTGCATTCCCTTTATATTTAAAAAATTGTAATTAAGTAGTTTCAAGTTAAAATTCTTTTTTTTCTGAATTGATGAATTCTTGAGATCTGAGAAAGGCAACCTTTTATCCACTGAGGGCCATTGAGACGCTAGGTTTACAGAGGCAGGAAACACCAAAAACCATATATTAAAAAACAACCTTAATTTATTTCATTTCAAACTCTACCGTGGGTAATTTAGATGGCATGTTTTCATGCTGTTTTAATGAGTTTTAACTTGGAATGAGGTATCCCTAACTCACTATACAGTCTTCCTTTGGTATTTGAAAGGAATTGGTTGTAGGTTCCCTCCTCAGATTCCAAAATCTCTGCATGTTCAAATCCCTTGTATGAAATGGTAGAGTTCTATGAATGTAGAACTCGTGGATACAGTATCAGTGGATATGGATGACTAGCTGACTGTATTTCCTTAAGAAAAGGTAGTAAGGAAAGGGCACGTAAGAGTCAAACAGGGCAGAAAGAGGAGGAGCTACAGAAGTACTTTCTGAGTGGAGGATTAATGAAAGTGAACAGTGCTTGTCATAGTGTATACATACTGTCTAGTTTGAGCTCAATTTCATTATTTCTTGAATTTCTGGCCTTCTACTAGGGCCTTTTCATGGTTCCTGATCTGCTTTGTATCTATGAGAAAGTTTGTTCTGAGATGGTGGTGTGTGAGCTAAGTATAGCACCTACTGGTTAATGGGAAATTTTTCTGTATGCTCCTTTGGCATTAACTATAGCATTTCTCTGCCCAGAATCACAGATGAAATTAATGTTGCCCATCTTTTTAATCTGTCAGTTCTGGATTTAGTAAATGTTGCCTGTTGGGTTTTAGGTCTTTCAGATTACTACTTGGGCTTGGATGGGGGTACATTACATTATGATAGGTATATTTTTGTGAATCATTACTATATTACTTGATTTCATTTTAAAGTAAGTGCTGCACAAGTCACAAAGCCCTGTCAAAGTGAGTTCCACTCCAGAACCCTTGACTCAGACCACGTACAAGAGTACCTTTGGAATCCCAAGTATCTCTGAATCTGTTTCTTCTTACTGCTGTTGCCATATATCTTGACATGGAACTAACCAACATTGAACCTTTGTCTTGGCTAAATCTAATTTTGACAGCTTCGAGCATGCTTAGTTCATGAGAAGGGATGAGGTTTCAGCTGATTAGCTTAGAGAAACTTGGCAGTATAAATTTGACAGAGGTATACTTAAGTGAGTGAACTTCTGGTCTAGAAATGAATTTCTAGTCTAAAAATGCTGCTGGTTGCTGCTTCTGATAAAACTTGATTTGAGACTAACCACAAGGATTTTGATGCTGGTAAGGATTCCTAAGATGAAGATGCTAAGTATTGACTGTGGCTCTACTACTTCCTAGCTTTGGGACTTGGGTGAGTTTCTTAATCTCTTAGTGCCTTAGTTCCTCCATTAAAAATGAATTAATGGTAGTGCCCATCTGACTCCTGTGATACTATCCTACTATTGAGTAAGGGAACACAGTTATGCATAGCTTAATGACAGGGATACATTTTTGTTCTGAAAAATGTGTCATTAGGTGATTTTGTCCTAGTACATATATCACAGAGTGTGCATATACAAATCTAGGTGATACAGCCTAGGCACTATGTAATAGTATAGCCTACTACAGTCTTTTTGGACCACCAGATGTAGTTCATCAACCAAAATATTAATGTGGGATGCATGACTATATACAAGTGCTTTAGCATAGCACTGTCACCCAGTTATCAATAAATTCTAGGGACCAGCAGTTAGTGTAATGGCTATGTCGCTGGACTCCCATGTAGCCAACCGCAGTTCAAGTCCTCAACCTGGTCGCTTAAACTCACGCCGGGTGCATGTGCGTGTGTGCCCAAGATCCCGAGAGGAGAATAGAGGAGAAGGGATTGTGGCGTGGCCAACCCCCCTGGGGGGGGGTGTGGCATGGCCATCCCCCCTGGGGGGTGATTTCTCGCTTTCTGTCTCTCTGGCGAGCGCACACGCCCTTTAGAAAAAAAAAAACTTTCCAAAAATAAATAAATAAATGAAATTCTAGTATTATTATTAGTATTATTCTAGTATTATCCTGTATAAAGTCTTTATGTATTTATCTTTATTTGTTTTCAGTTTAGGGATACTACAGAAATGTAGAGTTCTTTATCTTAAGTTTTTGCTTAAAAATAATTGTAGAATGCCAGCTTTGAAACATGTCTTCATGTAGTAGAGGGCATTTTTCTAACATGGCTAGAAACAACTTCTGGAATATGTTGAAGAATTGGCAGGGTTTTTTTGTATAATTGCAAATACATTCCTAAATATTTACACGGTAATTAAAGGTATTTGTATAGTCAATGTATAGACTTAGCATCAAATAGTCATTTATTCTTTCTCTCATGTCAGAAACCTTACTTTTGGTAGTTTGGTTCTAAGAACTGTAAAAAAAAAGAACTATTAAGTAATACTGACTAATTCAAGATTGATTACGTGGAGTCCCGAAAGAAATTAAAGTGCAAATGTTTCAGGTTCTCTCACCTTACCTTAAATAGTCTATAGGGTAAGTAAAGAGGAAGAGGGAGAGTGATTGATATGGTGGTCTTCCATAAAAACTGATTTTTATCTTTCTTACTGGAGCATGTATAAAGTTTATATGTGTCCGTTTATATTTAACTTACAAAGTTTATTTTTAAAAATTTATAAAAAACTAAACTTGATTATCAAGATAAAGTTCTTCTTTATTTTCAGATTTCAACTATTGCAGAAAGTGAAGATTCTCAGGAGTCAGTGGATAGTGTAACTGATTCCCAAAAACGAAGGGAAATTCTTTCAAGGCGGCCTTCCTACAGGTATGGAATTGAATAGTTAAAATTTAGAATCAAAAGATGTACAGGAAGCTTTTAAGTAGTTGCAGATGGTCTGTTAGCTGCTCAAGTCAGAAGACTTTTAGCTCCTCAAGTCAGTACCTGATAACTTACTTCTCTTCATCCTGAGTTACTTCTCTATAATAAGTTGAAGCTTATCATAGGATAAGAGTATTCCTTACTCTGAACAGTCTTGGAGAAGCTAAGTGTGTGTGTGTGTGTGTGTGTGTGTGTGTGTGTGTGTGTGTGGTGTATCCTGTTATTTGTAGATTATGCTGGCTGCTGCCTTACTGTTAAAAAGTTTGGAATACATTGATAAGGTTATAGTAATTTCTAATTATATCTCAATTCTGAGACTGTGTTATTTATCTACTTAGCAAGATATTTGCAAACCATTTTTTATGCCATGGTTCTCAGTGGGTAACTATTCATTTAAAAGTTATCTCATGGGGATGCCTTGGTCTGTCTCCAAGGTGAACCAAAATCATTTTCTTAATGGAAAATTTGACTCCATATTAAATATTGCCAGAAAGGGCATTCCTTGATAAGCTTACTTTAGAGTTTAATAATCTTCAGATTTACATCTTCTTTGCTTTTAGTCCTAATTATTTCTATTTATGTTTATTTTTGTTTTTTAAAGAGATGGTTGACTTTTTTCCCCACTTATTTAGCTACTAAGATAATCCTTTTCTTTATTTTCATAGTTACATTAACAATCTTAAGTCAGTAGTAATAAATTGATTTTGACATCCTAAAGGATTTTACATTACCAGGCACAAATATTTTATTTATTAATACTCATCATTTCATTTGTTTTAATGTGGCTAGTGTTATATTTTGGAGTAATTCTGAAGTATTGGGTTATCAGAAAAATCATGACACATTTTTGCATTAAAAAACATAGAAAAATACATCATGAATTTTCAGTGACCTAATATATCAGTATTTCATGTTAATATCTTTGATATTGAAGCAGATCTAACCACAACTTAAATAATCCACATAGCTTCTCTGTATATAACTTCTAGGCAGTTCTTAGCTATAGGCCTGATAAGATACAAGCTTCGTATTAAAAAAAAACAGTCTTTTATTTACCTTAATTGACTTTAGCATAAAGCCAAAGTCATTTAAATAATAACTCCTTAATAATCAAATGAAAGATGCCATCAGATCACACATATGTAGAAAAATGACCATTTTGTCATGAAAGGTAATGATAACTGCTCTTACAATCAAAATTCCATACTGGGGTATCTTTTCTTATAAAATTTGTAAGAATTATTTATTTAATTTAATTTATTATTATTGATGTTTAATTTGCTGAAGGGCACATGTGCTCACTGCCTATCAGAGAGAGAAAGCAAGCTACTAGGTCTGGGACTTTAACCATGGTTGGCCACCTTAACCACCACAGCACCTACTGACTTCCCTTATTATTTTCTCTTAAGCATATGAATTCCTGAAACTTAACCTCTGTGTCTTGATTATAGCAAGGTATTTAACAAAGTCCTTATACTCGTATGATTGGAGAAATTAGGATTAAATTGATAATATGAGATGAGGTTTTTGTTTTGTTTTGGTTTTTTTTTGAGAGGTTTTCGCTATAGGGCGTGTGCGCTCGCCAGTCAGACAGAGAGAGACATAGAGACAGAAAGCGAGAAATCACCCCCTAGGGGGGATGGTCATGCCACAGTCCCTTCTCCTCCATTCTCCTCTCAGGTTCTTGGGCATGCATGCACACGCACCCGGCATAAGTTTTAAGCCACCGGGTCCGGGACGCGAACCACAGTCGACTACGTGGGAGTCCCACAACATAGCCATTACTTTAACTGCTGGTTCCCTGAGATGAGTTTTTATTATAACAATTTATCTTCATAATTTGTTTATATCCAGAGGAAGTTCTTAAAGGTCTCTCTAGTTAGTCCCATTTGGTGTGGTATTTTTACCAGTAGTCTAGTTTAAAAACTTCAAAGCCATGGTTGCCAAATGTGCAAGTGAGAACCTTCAAAGGTGAGTACTGTGATGAATTGTAAGCTAGAAACTTTGAAAAATCATAGTAGGCAAAGGAAATAGACTGAACCAAGTAAAATGAAATGGTACTGATAACTATAAACTTTCTGAACTTGAGTATAAAATAAAATCTATGAGGACCAACCTGATGGTTAAGGGAGCTGGATCCCACATGATCAACTGCACAGTTCAAGTCTCAGCCCAAGCCCACCTGGTTTGAAAAACACTGGGTGTGTGTGTATATATATATGTATGCCCTAAATCCTGGCAGGATGGAGAAACGGAGGGAAAAGGATTACAGTATGACCATGCCCTCTGTTGGGAAGTGTGTTCTCACCCTCTCTCTTTTTCTGGCAAGTGCACAAGCCCTCTGGCAATAGAAAAATAATAATAATAAAATTAATTATTCAAGTACAGAATTCTGGTACAGAATTCTGGATTAATTCATGTGAGGGCCAGCTGTTGACCTGGTGGTTAAGACCGCTGAATCCCATGTGGCCAATTGCACAATTTGAGTCTTGGACCTGGCAACTTGGAAGACATTGGGTTAATTATTATTGATGTACTATGATTACCAATATACTATAAAGTTATACTAGTGATAACTTAATGTCTGGGGCCAGCAGGTAGTGTGGTGGTTAAGGCAGCTGAATCCACTACATACCACTGCACAGTTTGAATCTGATACCTGGCAGCTTTGAAAAACACACTGGGTGCATATGTGTGCATGCCCCAAATCCCTAGAGACTAATGAAAGAGAAGGGATTGTGGCATGGTCATCCCCGGGGAGTGTTTTCTCACTTTTTCTTTCTTATGCCTCCTCCAGGGAGTGCTTTATCACTTTGTCTCTCTCTGGTGAGCACACATGCTCTATAGCAAGATGAAAAGGAAAAATAAAGTAAAGATTAGTGTACAGACTAAAGGAAGAATTAATCCAGCTGTTCAGATCACATCTGAAATATACTTTAAGAGAAAGTGAAATGAAAGCCAGTAGGTAGTGTGGTGTTTAAGGCACTGGATTCCCATATGGCCAACCATGGTTTGACTCCTGGATATAGAGGCTTGAAAATCATACTGGGTGTGTGTGCATATAGGCCCAAAATTCCATAAGGAGAATGAAGAAGAGTCTGGGCTGACCATCTCCCCCGCCCCACCCCCTGGAGGGGGGGATGATTTCTCTTGTCTGTCTCTGTTTAACACACACATACACCCTATGACAAAAACCTGAAAGAGAAAAAAAGGTGAAATGTATGCAGGGAGGGCAGTCTAGAGCAATAATTTGACAAACAAAAGAGTCAACTAAGAGTGATCATTCAATCTATGTACTTGGGTTGTCATGCAAAAAAGTAGATTTATTTGTAGATCTAAAGTAGTCGTCTTTAAACATTTTTGTCCACTGAATGAAACATTTATTTATATTACTGTTATACACACATACACACACACACACATCTTTATATACACATGCACATCACAAGCAAAAGTTACTCAAAGCAGTATGTGCTTAATCCTTATGTGTGATGTTCAGATATTCTTTTTTTTTAATACATATTTATGGGGTTCAATGTGATATTTCAATACATAAATATAATATGTAATGATTCAATAGAAATAATAGGCATATATACCTCCTCAACTATTTATAATCTGTGTTGGAAACATTAAAATTATTTTTTTACTTTTTTGAGATATACTATAAATTATTGTTGACTACATTCACTCTAGCATGCTATGGAACAGTAGAATACATTCCTCTTATTTAACTATAGTTTTGTATCTTTAACCAACCTTGTCTTAGGTTCCTCTTCCCCTATTATTCCCATCCCCTCCTAACTACTAGCCAACCTATCGTACTAAAAACATGAGCCAAGATGAGGAGGAGCCCTAGGTTGCAGGGGGATCCTGACCATGATGGGCTGCTTAATCAGTGCCAGGGCAGAGGGTGGCTAGACACTGCAGAGGTCCTGGCAGCCCGGCCAAGTTCCCTGACATCTTATCCCACAGGTCGGACTTCCTTATTAAGGGAGAGCTACTGCATTCATTTTCCTAACAAGGTCATCATCTTTTGCTTTCCTCTCCTCTCCTTTTCTTCTTCATTGCTGCCTCCAGCTATTTCTAGAAGCTCATCAGCCAGGCCAGGTCAGCCTCGCTTGGTCTTCCCTTCCAAAGTATCTTCATGTAATGTTCTTTTGCTGTCTGCTGCTGCTTCTGCTCTCTCCTCGAAAGCTCCTTTGGCCCATCCAAATCTAGTTGTGTAACCTTTGGTTATCTGTGCCTCCTGGCTGTGGTCCTCCATGTCCATGATCTCTTCCAGGCCATTGCATTTTTGCTTACAGTCATCTCACTCTCATCTAAGTCTAGATATTTCTTCTCCTTTTTGGGGTCACTTGCAGACCCATCTCCACCTTCTTGTTCCTCTTCTTCCTCCTTTAGGCATCATTGCTCTGGCAGCTGTGGCAACAGTTCCTGGAACTGAGAATGGCCATTTCATTTCCTGGCTTCCGTGGTGTCCTTGAGCCCTCCTTGTGCTCCCTCAACCAGCAGAGGTTACACTGCAACTGAGGCCTGAGACAGGAGATCAGAGGTTTCTCCACAAGAGAGTGATCAGCAGCAAGGCTGCTGTTCTTTTTGGGGGAGGAGAGAGGTTTTTGCTATAGGGCATGTGCGCTCGTCAGAAAGACAGAGAGAGACAGAAAGTAAGAAATCACCCCCCGGGGGGATGGCCATGCCGCAGTCCCTTCTCCTCCATTCTACTCTCAGGATCTTAGGCACACACGCACACGTGCCTGGGCGTGAGTTTAAGCCGCCGGGTCCGGGAGTCGAACTGTAAGATTAGTGTACAGACTAAAGGAAGAATTAATCCAGCTGTTCAGATCACATCTGAAATATACTTTAAGAGAAAGTGAAATGAAAGCCAGTAGGTAGTGTGGTGTTTAAGGCACTGGATTCCCATATGGCCAACCATGGTTTGACTC